GTGCACGGTGCATTTTTCTCATACAGAAATTTGAGGATTCAACCTCGCCAGATGCATATCGAATTCATCTGCGAATCATTCATTCGTGTGGATAGTAAATTGGTACTGGCGCTTGCAGATTGGGAATTGCAATCACCGTGTGGGATTGTCATAAAAAATCAGTTAATGAAACTTGAATCCAGCACATGCAACCTCTTCTAAATTCTTTTTCTGAATTTATCGGGACCGCTTTAATTTTCAGGTATCCAGAGGAAGAAAATGATTGCTGTCTCTTCTTTTCAACCAATGATTTTAGTCAAAAAGTGCATTTTGACGTGAAAGCTGAAAGTAAAACTCCGGTTTCGCAAGTTGTTCGCATGAAGAAAGCGCCAAATGCGCCAATTAGTCCAGCTGACGAACACTCCGCCTGGATACTTGAAGTATGATCAATCATTTTTGATAAATAAAATTTCTCGAAGACAGTAAAGCATAATTTGACAGATGTTGTTTCATCATCGCGTTTCTTCTCGCCACTGTTTCAGCTTGCAGTTTCTCCACAAACTTTCTTCGCAGTCGGTTGACTCCACTTTGTTTCATTCTGATACCATTTGTTCAACATATTATTTTCCAGCATCGCACAGTGGCAACGGCCAGGGTGGGTGGCTCTCCCACGGAGCTGCTACACGTTTGCATACATGCTCGGAAACAGATGTCCACGTTACGTATAGCACTTCGGCTTCCAGTCAGCATCACAACCATGCTTATGCTAGCATCGCCACTTTTCGGACATCTCAATATGCAACTTTATGTGAAACTTTTTGCGCTCTCTTTACAAACTATATCGTTTCTGTTCCTATGTTCCATTGCGCCCGAAAATGGCTTCGGAAAGACGAAACCGAAAATCTGTAAGTATATTTTTTTTTCAATTATAACAAAAATGGAGGTGTTTTTTGACCGAGATGGGCTTGGCCAGAATCTCTTGACTTGCCAGGTATTTCTCGGTATTTTGTTTTGTTTAATGACTTGAGGCCCATTAATTAAATTTTTTCTTCACTGGCCGAATTTTTTTTTTGCTTTCTTTCGTCCTGTGAGGTATTATGCATCTCTTAAACTACACTAACTTTTGCGTCCAGTACTGTTCTTATGCATATTTTTGATTCAGTTTTTGTAACAACAAAGCAAACTCAAGTATTTCAGTACCCGGTGTCTTTGACTGTGAGACATTTTGAAAAACTGTCAAAATTTAGTCCAGGAGACAGATAGCCTTAGTATTTAGTCATGTTTTAGCCCATCTCATGCTTGCAAAAAATCGCAGCTGTATAACGATAGAGCAAAAAAATCATTTGGCATAAAAAACACTTGAAAAACAAATCCTTAACTTTTCAGCTTGTGTGTTGAAATAGAGTGTACACAACTTAGTGGACCAAATCTTTCATTTTATGAACCGTCATTTATCACCTATGTATTTCTCTTTTCACTTCAGATCTTCCCCTTCAGTTTTCATTATCTAATCATCAACTGATTTATCGTCTGCTAATTAATTAATTGTTTAACTAATTACAGATACATTCTTTGAGACGGTTGTAATATTAACAATAATTAGCATAATGGTAAATTTGATTGCAATAGCACTGAGTCGTGTGCGTCGTACAGTACCACCACGGCACGGTTTATATCTGGCGGCCAAAGTGGTAAATCGTCTTGTCTGCTGCATTGGTAGGTTTCTTGCCAAAGCAATAATGCTACAGGTGAAATTATTTGGCAACAGATAAGAATTAACTTTGTTTGCAAATCAACAAAAAATATTCTTTGGGACAATTAAGAATATGTTAAATTTTCTTGGTTCTTAAAAAAGTAAACGCAGTTTTTATTATATTCAAACTAATTTCATAATTACAATATTCTGGATTTTAGAGCCCGATCCAACGGCCAGTTACTGTCGACATTTGGACGACAGCACAGGAACAAACTTCGAAAACTCGCAACCGGATTACACCACCGAGTGGCGGCATATCTATATTGCAGTTAACAATCTTTATTCGGCATTCGCTTTAGCAGTATTTATTTTTGTTGCTGCTTTTGAAATTTTATGATGAAGTCATCAAGCACAAAAACATTATGGAACTCGGAGCATGCAAGCGAAGCCAAATTTTTAGTGAGCAAAAAAGACAAATTTTGAGCTCACAATGCAAGTCAGACTTTGAACGCATCGGAGAAGCTAAGTTTTGAGCGCGCAAACAATGCCAATTTCTTCACATTCGAATGACGAGGATTCATCATAATAAAAATTGTTTCCCAAGAAAAAATACATTAGTTCATTTCTCCCCATTCTGCTCTGAACTGAGAACATCTGAAGTTAAATTTTGCTCGTTTCTGAATAAAGCTGTACGGTCATCCACCAAATTTTTTGCATTTTTTCTACGGATACTGAGCATTTTTAACATTTTTCGAGTATAGGTAAAAAATACTTCCAGTTTCTTAAGAACCTGCAAAATACTTTGAAAAATCATGGCGTTTTTTAAAGTGTACTTTGAAGTTGTTCTCGCTGAAAAAAAGTAGAACTGCTTAGCTCAGAGTGGTATTTTTCAAAAGCGAGTGGAACAAAAGTACAAACATGTTACATTTAGCTTGAAAAAAAGTGAAAAGTGAAAAATCTTAGAGAAGGTTAAATTATAAGAAATTTCGGAAAAAACGGAAACTTTTTCTTTGTTTTAATTTCAAAAAAAAAGAAGTCTAGCAAATTTGTGGTGAGTTTTCTATCACCTGAAATTGAGTACATTCACTCTTCGTAAGAAGCTCATAGCATCTGATTGTTATTTGACGGCTTGATATATCACAAAACTAGAACATCTAAAACGTTTTAAATGCTACATATCAAATAGCCTTTCATGTGATTTTCTAAGTTTTGTGGCGAATTAGCGCTGAATATATTTGTCCATCCAGTATATACCGGTTATTATATGTTTCATTTTGATGGCATTATTAAACTTTTTCGTAATCTTTAAAATCACAACTGCCAAACTGCAAAAATCTTGCAACATAGGTCCACAGAGCATGCTGAGCGCATTAAATTACAGATGCGAAATGTGATCACTGACAAAAGCAGATGAGTGAATGTTGGGTGTAACAGAAAAAGCAATGAAACGAAGGATGCTTGGAGCGCCTCTTTGTAACTACAAAGGTAATGAGACTGGTAGATGCGTGATGTGCAGAAGACCGTCATGAATACGAGAGAAAGCAAAATATCGTGGGCAAAAAAAAAAAAAAAACTCTGCTAACTTTGCTTCCAAGTATCGGACATTACCCACCATCGGTTGGTGCCCATGTGAAGAAAAACTGGTTAGAAATTCAACAGAGAGAAAATATTTTCTTGTACGTCTGTGCATTATCATCTACTGCAAAACTCCAAGAACCATCGTGACGGCGTAAAAAAAGCCCTGAAAAATTCCTGGATATTTTTTCGAGAGTACAGTTTGCGGACCAGCAGAAGATTAGAGAGGGGCATTATGGTACTAAACCCATATTCTCTTTTCACCAACAGTTTTTGAACTTCTGAAATATCTGTCTGTCCCCTGCTTCACATTGCATTTTGCAAGCATGTTACCGTAATCAAAAATGCTAGTATTTCTAAGGAAAGCAAGAACTGACTCCCAATTTCTTCTACGCTTTGTCCTTAGTAATGAGGCAGCAACGACAAGAAAATTTTCATATTTTACACAAAATTTTCCTATTTTCAAATTCTTATGTTTTACACATAACAATGAGGCAAATATAAATCCTCATTTTGTCTCAACATTTCATTCTTGATATTGTCGCTGCTCGTTCCCGACTGATCGATCGCACACGGTTGCTTCTTTTACGAATCTGGAAAATTTTATTTGCAAGCAATTAACTGGATCTGTACATAAAAGCACTTCAAATCAAATTTGCTTGGTGTTCTTCGATGCGAAACTCCGGATTCTGTGGCCAGAGCTAGTAGTACTCCATCATCCTGAACTAAGTTGCCTTAAGGACTCCTGTTTTTTGTCCTATTCTCAAGCGCGGCTTGCAACGGTGCTCATTATCTGAATTCGGGAGATGATAAAATAAGCGGTGGAGGATTTTACTTGCTGAAAATCATTAGTTTTACTTCTGGTCGGTAAAGTACGTTAACATGATTTAGAAATAGCAAATTTTGAGACGTGGTGATATTAGCGCTATCTGGAAACTGCTGAAGCTTCGCCGAAGTGATTTTGACAAGAAAATTGTTTTGCTAGTAATTCAGTCAAAAGTGCAAACATCAGAATTGCCACTAGGTTGACCATTAGGGTCGATAGTGAAGCAGCACTGATCAAAGCAATAAATTTCCAATCTCTATGTCCCTTCTAAAAAAAAGCCTTGGACAAAATGGAAGAACTAAAACGAACTGACAAAATCTTCGGTTAATGAAATGTTAAGAAGGATTTTCAGTTACTACTACATTTTTTCAAAATATTAGTTCAAATTTAATCTTTAGCATAAAAATGGATGCAGAAGAGGCAAGCGTGAGCGTATGGGCGCCTAATGTACAGGAAGGATTCATTCTATGCAAAATTACTGACATCGGGAGCGAATGCCTTACACTTCAGCCAATAAACGGATCAGAAACGGTTCGTAAATTATGCAATAAGTTGAAAAAAAGAGTACCATAAAATTAGTCAGTTTTACGAAACAAAGCTAGAAACCATTTCTGATCCTAGAAAGCAAAGGCTTACAAGTAATATTCGCTAGTGCCAAAAAGACTTGTGGGATGAATAGTTTTTCACCGGACAAAGCAGAAAAGAAGGATTGCAACGAGTTGCGAGGGATTCGGTAAATGCCTCAATCCTTGACTATAAATAAGCTCAAAAAGATCCGAGGATCGATGAGTTTGTATTTTTTGAAGATAGTGAGTGATACTGCCTGGTATTGAGAAAATATTTTCTGGAAAAATGGTGTTTTTTAGATCCAGGCATTCTATGAGGATGTATTTCCAGCTGAAAAAAATAATCGGGATGTCGACGATAATTGTATGTTTTTTGCTAAATTTTGTAAACCTCCATTACTTCGAGTCGATCCTAATCAGGTTGATTAAGGCCAAAACTTTGATCCATAATTTTTGGACCTGTGCTTTGATATGAAAACAGGCTTTTTTCGCAAAAATTTAACTCGAAAGAAATGCATTTTTAGGCAGTAGCCGTAAAACCCAGAAATCAATTTCGCCGGAAAAATTCTGAATTAAACCTCATTCTTGCGATTATTTCATTCGTTTCTCAACTTATTTAGGCTATTAACAGTTTTTCCTACGATTTTTTAGACACTTGAGCTTGTTTCCAGGTTCGTTGATGTATCTCAACGATGGTACTCTCCTGCACAACTGCCGCTTGCGCTACAATCGTAAACAATTTTACGTGCGTTTTTCTGAGCCCTTATAAATATTTTAAGAAATATTTTGTTAATTGATGTAAAACTCACTACTTCTGCTCTACTGCATGTGACACATGCTTTCCATGTATAACATATTATCTTTGACGAAGCCGCCAATATTTACGTAGTAGAGCAAGGGGCCGTGGTCTAACACAACTTCTAGCAAACCAGATAGAAGGGCTACTCGACAATCTGGAGAAGGAAAGGCGTCGGGAACACCGGCATACTGGTCGCCAAGCGATGCAGCATCGGGGAAAGCAACTAGAAAATTATCAGTCATATTGTAACAAAATAAGATTGTGAGTTAGAACTGATAATCCAAAAATCGCGCAGACATCGAATCAGGGAATAGGCAAGTAGGCCCAGAACTGAAAGGCCTGACCGAGCTGCAACCAGCATTTGGGGGAATCCGAGTAACATCATTAACATGGGATACCCAAACTTGTGCCCGGTCAGTCTTGATATTTGCGATATTTAGAGCTATTGCGCTTCTGATGCCTCGTTTTCAGACATATGTGGCAAACATACTGATTGCAATAAATCCCTATGAACAGATTCCTGATCTTTACTCTATTGATATGATACAAAAATACAAAGGAAAATCGCTGGGAACGCTGCCTCCGCATATATTTGCTACTGGTTTGTTTCTCAGCTTTTTCGTTATTTGCGTAATTCCGATGAAGTCTCCTGATTTTTGCTTCCTTTCGGAAAATGTGTTTCTTCAAAACATGCTTAAAAAAATAAACGTTGCAGACTGTTAGCTTTTTATTACAAAACTGTTGACAGTTGAATGTTGAAAGCGATTTAAATTAAATACTAAATAGATTCCTAATAAAATTCACTTGATGTGAAAGTATACGGTTATTCTCACCTGCAATGGTTTTTTGAAATCTAATCGAAAATAAACTATTGTTTATAGCTGACAAGGCTTATCGGGATATGATGCGTAACGGCGAATCACAATCAATTGTCATTTCTGGAGAATCAGGAGCCGGTAAAACAGAGTCCCAGAAGCACATTCTGCGCTTTTTATGCGAATCCTGGGGCAAATCGCTTGGTACTATTGAGCAAAGTATTTTGGAAAGTACGTATTTAACTTCAATAATTAGTTTGTGAAAGCATATCAATAACATTGCTAAAGTAGGATGCTCACATCTTATTATACAATTTCTGGTCCTCATGGAATAGTTTTGAACAAATAATGCCATTATTTGTTCTTTTACAGCACAGTTTTTTTGATTTTGTTGAAAAGAACTTCTATAATTTTATATGGCTTGCATAGTTAAATCCAAAGTTGACTGTGCAAAAATGTGGCCCACTTGAAAAATGACGCCTCGCAAAATAGAACACGATAGAAAATGTCAGTTTCTTTATAACAGTGTCAGATTCTCGCGGAACTTTCGCAGCAGTATCCTGCTTCTCCTACTGTGCAGATGGTAACTCTTCTAATTTTTTTGTCCATTGCTGCAACGCTTGTATTGGTCAGCATGCTGATGATCCTGACTTTTCTTGAGAGGCTAATTTTTGTTTTTACATTGAACTGCTTAGTCACTTTTTGCGCATGTCTTTCTTCTTTACTACAATGCCTTATGTTATTTTTTCAGTCTGTTAGCAGGTTATTTTAAGTTCAACGATAGAAAGTCCTGATTGCTTACCAGCAGTTTTTAGTTATCAAAAAGCTTACAGCGGTAACTTGGAAAATAGCTGTTTCCTTCAAGAACTTTATTTCTCAAGATTTTTGCAGTAAGCACAATTTTGGAATCATTTGGAAATGCAAAAACAGCGCGTAATAATAATAGCAGCCGATTTGGAAAATTCATCGAAATACATTTCGATACAACGGTAAATTTGTTGCTAGATGTAAAATCGCCGTCCACAAAGTTTTGTTTTACTGTCAGTTAAGCCATGCATATGATGAGCAGAAAGGGTCTGGGCAATCTGCCAACAAAATCGCAAGCAACATAAGCTAATTTGTCAAAAACAAAACTCAAAAATCAAAACTCCCGCTGTAATTCAATTTCCGTGAAAAGCAAATAAAAATAGTTTAGATAATTTTAAACACTTTAAACAGTTTTACCAATCAAGT